TCCTACCCCTCCCACGCCCACGCTCCCTGCTCTGTCTGTCCATCTGTCTGTCTGTCCATCCGCCCTCCCACACCCCTGACCCATGGACCCCTGTCCCCCTCCCTGCAGCCCCTCCAGCCCTGCTGCGCCCAGTGCTCTGTCTGCTTGATGGATGTTTCAATGCACCTCTTGGAGGCAGATTTCTTTAATATATATGTTTTATTTTTTCCCCGCCCGAGTCCTGACGCAGCCTTTGGTTTTGAGGGTGCAACTCAGCGCTTGCAAATAATTGCCCTGCCGCACTTCTGCGCCTGCACTGAAACAGGAGCATCGTTTGGTGCTGAATTTCCTGAGCGAGGCAGCTGGAGCTGGGATTGCCGACAGCTCGGCCTTAGCAGGAGCACAGGGCAGTGTTGGCATTGGCAGTGCTAAATCTGCCTGAAGGAGAAGGCAGAACGGCTGGGGCTGCTGGGGGGCTCTTCTCCAAACTGCCTTTGGGGAACCAGAGCACAGGGTTGTGGCAGCCGGGGCTCTTCCAGCCTCTCTGCACCAGGTGTTCCTGCATTGCTGGGCTGGATGGGAGAATGTGGGTGAGGGCAGGAGGGAACAGGGATGCTGGAGGTCAGTCAGTGCTGTGCCGCCCGCTGGGGATGGCTGCATCGGGTCGGTGCGGGGCAGGTTTGCGTGCTCTCATGTGGATGTCTTAGGGGTAAGATGTTCTCCAGCCCCGCTGCCGTGTCTGGATTGGCACGTAGGAGCTCACTCATGCAAGTGGCAGTGTGACACTAAGCAGAATTTGCTGCCGGAGGGGCTTCTCATTAATAGGAAGGAGAGCGCAGAGCGCTGCTCCACACCCACGGCCGTGATTGGGCTGTCCCCACGGGGACTGTCACTGCAGCATCACCCCCTGCACTGCACCTCCCTCTATCTTTAACAGCAGTCCCAGCATGGCACGCACAGCTCTGGGACCCGGCCAACACGCCGTGTCCCCAAGGAAGGGATGCAGGGCTCCCTCCTCTTCTTCCATCTCTGAGGCTGGGAGATGTGGGGCAGGGCTGAGTGCAAAGCAAACGCGGTGCCTCCCCTCCCCAGGTCACCCCGGCAGCCACCCCGCAGCTTCCTTTGCTCCACGGCGAGACATCGGGAACGGTGGGGATGCAGCTCACCCCGCAGCCCTCACCTCCCGAAACGGAAGGCGAAGCCACCTTTCTTCCTGCTGTAGCCATTGAGTTCCTCAGCCAGGTCCCCCAGCGTGCCGCCACCGCCGCGCTTCTCTGAGCCCTCCTGCCGTCCCCGTGGGCCCCTGCTGTGCTGCTGCCCGTAGCCCCGCAGCACCCGGGCGATGCCCAGCAGCGTGCCCAGCTCCTCGCTTCGCCGCCACGTCGGGGCTGCCCACCCACAGGGACCCGTGGCCTCAGCCACCGCTCCTCGCCAGCGTGGCTCCAGCACATCCTCGGGGTGTCGGGGCTCGTGGGGTGGGCAGCAGGCCCCCAGGCTGAGCAGGATGAAGCAGGACAGCGAGTAGGATGCTCTCATCTGGGGGGACACAGGGAGGGAGAGAGATGGCAAAGTGCTCAGCATCCTTGGGGGCATCAAGGGCTTCCTCCCATGGAGCATCTCTCCTGTGGAGCATCCCCTCTCTGTACCAGTATTGCTATGGGGCAGATACCCATGTATGTGCTGCAGAACCCTTAAAGAAGCAGGAAAACCCCTCCGGCACCCCTACAAACTCTCACTGAGCTGCTCTCCCTGCATCTTTTCTCCTCCTGACCTCTCTCTTCCTCTCTACGAGCCTGCAGTCCCTGCTCTGGTCCGCTGCCAGGCCTGGCACGGTTCGGGTTGGCTGCGCGGGGCTGTTAGCAGGGCAGGCTGATGGGAGCAGCTGATGGGAGCTGCAGCCGCGTGCTCCTCTTAGCAGCACTGCAGGGAGGGCTTAAGTGCGTTCACCTGAGCAGTGCTCAGCTCTGAGCGCTCAGGTGCCACCCGCAGCGCCCCGTTAATGCGTGCAGGGGAAGCAGCTTGCAGCCATCGCTCTGCTTTATGGGGCTGAGCGGTGCCTGGGTGACCTTGGGCAGCTCTGCAAAACTTCAGAGAGGGAGAATGGAGTTTTAATTTATTATTATTATTATTATTTTTTTTCAGGAGATGCTGCCTTAAAAATTGCTGCTGGTGTTGGGGGATGGGGCACCTGCCCCCATCTGGGTGCTCTGCTCTCCTGCAGACCCCTCTGAGCCCAAAGCACTGTGGGTCCCAGCTCCCCTCCCGCTATGGGCTTTGCTTTCCGTGCCTCCATCCCACCTTGCCCCTGACCTGGGCACTCCCAGCACAAAGCCAAACACAGGGAGCGCCTTGCCCTGCTCCAACCCCATCCCATCCTGGGGTGTTCCCTCTCCTGCAGCCCAGGGATGTCTCTGCTGTCCCCATCACTCACCTCTCTGCCTTGGGCGATGCCCAGCTCTGCGCTGCCCTGCCTGCATCCGGGCTGAGCTGGCCATTAAATACCTGCGGGTGCTAATTGCCTTCTGCCGGAGGCTGGGCTGCTGCAGGGAGGTGGGGGGACAGAGGGGATGGGGCTGGCCAAGCCACTACAACAGGGTTAATGAGCCACCTTCATTTGTGGCTTCGTTTGGAGGAGAGGCTGAGCAGGAGCCGGTGCTCTTGGCTTGGAGCCAGCGGCAGTGACGCCGGTTGGGGACACGAGCACTCCCACCTGCAGCGCGATGTGAGCCTGTCGTTGCAGGTCCAGATGGGTGTGCAGAGCCTGCAGGTGCTCCTGCACTCCTACACCCACTCAGGACCCATCCCCACACAGAGAAGCCCAACTGTTCCCACCCTGCCTGGCCAATGCTTACAGCCCAGCTGGTCTCCAGCGCCAGGCACTTGGCTGTCACCTCCCACATCTTGGGATGGGGCTGAGCAGTGGTTGAAAGGAGCTGGGACCCCACTCAGCGCTGTGCCCATTGGCACATTGTGGCTTTCCCCTGGGTTTGGGTTCCCCATGGGGTTCCTAAAGGGCTGCCAGCTCCCTCTATCCTTCTGGTGGTGTCCCTGTGCTGTGACCATAGAGGAGAGCACACCAGTAACGATGAGTTCCTTTTATTAAGGAGTTCAGAAAGTCCACATGGACAGCGCTGGACACCACTCACACACAATGGAGACCTCACAGCACAGCACCACGACGCGACGGCCGCGGGGAGGGACATGGCCGTGCTCCAGGCCTGGAGCCGTACGCCTCCCCTCCAGTCCCCAGCACCAGACTGCAGCTGTGCCGTCCCCTGATGTCCCCATGGCCACCCTGGCGAGGTGGCACTGGGAGTGGGTTCATGCCAGCCTGGGGTTACTGAGTGCCATGTGCACTCCCAGCACTCATCCTGGAAAATCCATCATCTCGGGCTGTATGGAATACCTCTCGTGCAACGCGAAACGAACTCGTTTGGGAGTCCTGGGTGGGAGGGGCAGGACACAGGGAAGTGCTACCAACACACTACAACACCCCATTCCTGTCCATTCAGAGCTCAGGACCACAAGGACCCCACACACGGGCTCTGGGTCGTTCCTCCCGAAGGCAAATGCTATATGAACCAGCTATATGAACCCACCGAAATCAATGAGCTAACAGCAAAGGTGGGCACGGCCCTGCAGACCCTTGGGGTGCAGTTGGGGGGCTGCTGCCCTCTGTGGGGTGTTGGGCCCCCCCAGTGGATCTGGTTGGATGTGAGCAGTGCAATGTCTCTGGCTCAGGGTGGTCCCAGCGCATCGTGTGTCTCCGGTCCCCGTGGGGCAGAGGGATGGAGAATCGCCCAGATGGAAGCACTCATCCAGTGTGGAATGAGAGCAGGGGAAGGCTTAAAAAAAGGAGCACGTCGAGAAGTGCAGAAATGAACCTTTGATCTCACTGTGCTTTGGGTCCCCGCGCAGCACAGCTCTGGGTCTGTCCTCCCCTCCTCGGGGCGCTCCAATAGTTCTCCATGGGGTTGGGGTCTGTTGTGGGGCTGTATCCTCAGTGCTGCGGGAAATGATGCAAAGGTGCAGGGGGTCCCGGCTTCCCCTCCCCTCACACCAGCTTTATTGGTGTTGGTTTTGGACAAAAGCACCCATTGAAGTCCTTGTAGGAGCCTTTCCCGTTCCTATGGGGCCGGGGCTGCTGCACCCCTCAGCAGCACAGTGCCTGGTGGGCTGAGGATGCAGCCCCGTTATCAGCGCCCTGCAGATGCTAAGCCCCACTCAGGGCTGCTTTTTGCAAAACCTTAATGGGATTTGAAGAAACGAAAGGCTTTGAATATCTGCAGGTGCAGAGCCAGAGCTGGAGCGTGGCTCATCGGGGATGGAAATGAATGCGGGTTGCCGGGCGGGGGGCCCTGTGGGGGTGCTGCTGAAACAGAGGGCAAGGTCACAGCTTCTGGATGGTGAAAACCCATCATGCATCCGGGGCAGGAGCTGTGCAGGGAAGGCAGAGCTGTACTGGGGGTTGTGCCTTCCCTGCTTCCTCCTTTTCCTCCTGCTCTCTGCTTTGCTGATGCCACCGCACAGCTTTGTGCCATGCTTGGCTGTGGGCATCCATCCCTGCAGCGCTGTGCCCATGTGCTGTGCAGCTCCACGAGCAGGGGCAGTGAGGTCTGTAGGTGTCCCTTCCCCTCTCGGAAGACAGAGAGGAGAATGTTTGCAGAGAAGGAACCACTGGCACTCGTGTGAGCACCAACCCAGCAGAGCCCTCCCTGTCCTCAGTAGCACCGTGGGGGCTCTGCGCCCCAGAAATGGTCTCCAGCCCCTCCATCCCCTCCCCTCCTTGTGCACTGCTCCCCAAGTCCCCACTGCACCGCGAGCATCCGGTGTGGCCCAGGGAGGGGACGCCCATCCCAGTGGGGAGCAGAGGGCATGGGGTCAGGACAAAGCCATCGCCCCCAGTGGAGAGATGCTCCCACGGGACCCCAGGGCAGGATGGTGGCATGGGGTGCACCAGGAAGAGAGGAACCACGGGGCAGTGGGAAGGGCAGGGGTCAGGGAGGGGCTCGGTCCATCCGCTAATTCTCCTCCCGGACGGGCCGGATCTTCATCTCAGTGAACTTGAGGGAGTACTGCCAGCCGGTCCAGGAGGACCACTCGATGCCATCGGCGTAGGAGCTGTGGTGGCCCTTGAGGTACTGCCCGTTGAGGTTGGAGGTGTGGCAGTTGCGGTACCACCAGGCGCCGTGGTAGAACGCCGCGCAGTTGTTCTCTGAGTGGTCGTTATCCAGGTCCTTGGTGGTGAACTTCATCCCGTTGTGCTTCAGGAAGGAATCTCCTGCCGCAGGTAAAGGAGCCGTGAAGGGCCCTCCCCACCCCTATCCCTGCCCTCGGGGTGGCTTCCAAAGCCCCGTGCACCTCAATGGAGCTTCTTGGTGCCTTATAGGGCGCTCGGGCTCATCGCTACTCAACCACAGCCACCCTCCAGCTTCCAGCTCTCAGTGGATGCTCCGGGGATGGGATTTGGTCCCCTGAGGGGCCCTACCTGCCGTCCCCGAGTAGTCAGCGATGGAGATGGGGTACCCGTCCTCCTCGGGGTCAACAGAGAAGAGCCCCACACCAAAGCTGCCGTAGTGTGCGAAGGCGGTGCCGTTGTCGAAGTCCTCCAGGTCAACGCGCAGCTCGTAGCTGCCCTGCACCGTCAGCACGTGGATCCGCTTCAGCCCTACATGGAGTGGGGTGAGTAGGGCACAGGGGGGTCCCTGGGATGCACTGATCCCCACTTCCAGCCCTCGCTGCCCTGGCCAAGGACACGTGTGCAGCCCATGTGCAAATGGCAGCACCGCTCGCCTGCCTACCGATGACCCTTGCAGTCGCCCTGAACTCCCTGTGGCTGCCTGACCACGGCATGCAAGACACAGGTACTGGCTCAGCCATTGGGGTGCATTGGTTCAGTCACTGGGTGCACTGTTCTGGCCATTGGGTGCATTGCTTTGGCTATTTGGGTGTGCTGGCCCAACCACTGGGTGCCTTGGCTCAGCCATTGGGGGCCTTGGCTCAGCCATTGGGTGCACTGCTTTGGTCACTGTGTGCATTGGCTTGGCCATCAGGGTGCCTTGGTTTGACCATTGGAGTGCATTGGTTCACTTGTTTGCAAAGGACACCCCACGCACCTAACCAGTGCTCTCCTGTCAGCTTCCCAAAGCCGTCCCGGTAGGCTTCCCAACCACGGAAGAAGTTCACAGAGCCGTCCTCCCGTCGCTGGAACACCTGGGAAGACACAGGGGAAGGCAGGGCAGCTCCGGGCTCAACCCAGCTGTTCTCTCCTCCCCTTTCCCCTCGCTCTGTTCATCAGCATCTCACGCCCTGTATGTTTTGTCCTCTTTTATCTTTAGTTTGGAGTTTGATTTATTGACAACGATCCAGAAATGCTGCTCCCCGTCTGACCATTCGAACGTAATTAAGCTTCCAGCCCTGGATTAATTGCATTAAACTTGGCCGCTCCAACCTGCCTGGAGGAGAACGGAGCCGGCGAGATGGTCCCGGAGCGCTGCGCTCCTACGGCTGCGATGCTCAGAGCCGGCAGGGAGGCAGCGCTGTGTGCTGGGCCACCTCCCCGAGCTGCCCCTGACCTTGGAAGCACCCATATGTGTTGTTTTTCCCATTGCCCATCCGTGGGACACCCAGCGCCCGGCTGCTTTGGGGCCGGGTGTGATGGGGCCGGGCGCTGGTCCAGCGCCGATCCTGCTGTACTTACCTTCTAGAATTAGAGCCTTAATTTTAATCCCTGCACTGAGCGCTTGAGAAGCTGCTGCTAAGCCCATTTAAAGGGGCTTTCGGTGGGTGAGGGGGCGGCGGGGCTGGCTGGGAGCCCCGAGCTGATCTCCCCACGCCGTGCCGCGCAGGGAAGGCGGCAGCGGTGATGCTGAGGCTCTCTCATTTAATCGGCTTTGACTCGAGGTTGTAAATAGGCCAATTGCTCGGGAAAGCGCACGGGACACATCTTCATTAGCCGAGCCCCGGCGCGGCGCGGCGATTACCGAGCTGTCGGCAGCTTTGGGCTGGGATCGGCACCTCAGGGACCCCGCGTGCCCCACGGTCCCCACGTTTGGCTGCAGGAGTCCCACAGAACCCCGCACCCTGCGCTGGGAAAGCTGCACCCCGAGTTTGTGTGCGGTCCCTCCTCGTGCTTCACATTGCGGACGGGGAAGGGAAGCGATGGGTTTTGGTGAGCGGGCTCTGAGGGTCCGCAGAGGGACGCACGAGGGGAAGTGGGGCCAGGGCTGCAGGTGAGGGGAGCTGGGAAGCGGGGCCGGCTGTGCTCACAGCACGGGCTGCTCGTTCCTTCCCTCCTCATGAAATATGCATCGCCCCCTCTTAAGCAAAAAGGATTTCCTTCCCCGCTTTAAAGCTTAGGCTGAAATATTCATCGCCCCGGCTCGCTGCCTGGCTGCTCAGCAGAGCGGGGCAGGAGGCACTGGGAAGGCACAGAACCGGGAAAGTGGACAAAATGAAGAAAAAAAGGAGGAGTGCCACCTTCCTTTGGGGTCAGCGTCCCCACCGCACCGCTCCTCGCGGGGCGGAGATGCTGAGGCGCAGCCTGGCAGTGATGAAACAGCGCTGAGAGTTTGCAAAGAGCCCGGCACACGAAGCAGCGTCTTCAGGCGATAGGAAGGCCGTGCTGCCGCCCTCCGTCACACCGTTATTGCTTTAATAAAGCGCCAGGAGCGGAGGGTCGGGGAGTGGGGGGGGGGGGGGGGAGAAAGAGGGAAGGAAGGAATATCAGCGTGCTGCCCCGTGCTGCGAGGCGGTCAGCCCCGGGTGAGCTGCAATTAACGGCAGCGCAGAGGCGATGCAGATGCTCCCGTGGGCTGGGAGCAGAGAGCTGGCTGGGGATGGGTGGCCCTGCAGCTGGGAATGGACCCCATCTCCTGCCACAGCTCTTGCAGCTGAAGGCTTAGCTCAGCAGCTCCCGAGCCCAAATGGATTCAGCTGCTTCCACCCACTTCCCCACATGCAAATAAGCCCAAATGTCAGAAGTACGGCTCCAGAGGAGGAGGGGAGGGGAGGGAAATTTCCCAGGCTCTGTACCACAGCATCTTTACCTGGAGCCTGTGGGCCCCGATGTGCACCAGCACCACGGATGGGTGAGCCCCCCTTCCCACAGCCTATGGGGATGTCTGGGAGCCGGGTTGGGCCGTGCCATGAGGCAGGGGGTGGCAGAGTGCAGGATGCTCTGACCCGTAATGCTGGGATGCAACATAGGCTTTGGTCCTTTGACCCCCATCAAGGCTGGAGCTCACGGTGTGCATTTGCTCCCTTTGCACCCTTCTGGCCCTGCTGGAGCCTTCCCAGCTGCAGCAGCTTTAAATAAACCTCTGAGTGTCTGGCTAATCACCTTGGGCTGCTCTTCAGGCAGCTCCTGAGTGTGTGGCTGGGGGAGGCAGTGCATGGGATTTGCAAGGACCCTCTACACCCTGGGAACTGTAGTGTCCCCTCTTTGTCTTCTCTGACCCCCAGGATGTGGGGTTGCTGTGCTGTGCCTTGGTTTCCCCAGTGCGAACCCAATGTTCAGGTCTGCTTGGGTGGGCTCTGGGTAGAGCGAGCCTGAAGGCTCATCAGCCCCTGGAAGGCAATGGGGGGGAGGGGAAGGGGGGCTAAGCTGCCTCCTGGCACCGCTCAAAGCTGCTTAAGGGAAGCAGATCGTGGGGATTTATTTCCTAGAGCGCCCAGCTGGAGGGGTGCTGGACCATGTCCTCGTGGAGAGGCCGCCTGTCACCCCTATTCACCACCCTGGGGTCTCTGCTTGGTGCTCAACATCCCCCAGGCTGGGGGCACTCAATGGAACGTGAGGGGTGGCTGCATCCCCCTGTCGCCCTCTGCTGCATTACTGTGATTACGGGGCTGTCGCAGCCATGGCACAAAGCGAAACGGACAGGGAGAGTTAATCAGCACAGCAGCAGAGGTGCCCCCGGGCACCCCTTCGTTAGTGGTGCACAAATGAGCTGGGGTGGGTGATGCTATGGGGGGGGGGGAGGGAGGGTGTGAGTGCACGGAGCTTTTCTTTGTGCTTCCATAAAAAAGGGGAGGAAAGAGATGGTCACCACTCAGTTGTGCCCTCTATGTTGGGCTGAGGGATGTTGGGTGTGATGGAGGCCAGGGGGTGTCAATGGCCCCAGACCAGCACCTGGCTCTGTGCTGTAGGGGTCCCTTTGTCCCCATTGCCATGAAATACGAGTTCCAACCATGGCACAACCCAACAGCCCAACCCCAAGCTCCAGCTTGCTGAACCCTCGCCAGGTCCCTGCTTGCAGCCAAGCCCCATCCCCATGACACATCGAGTGACATCTCCCACCCACAGCCCCCATATCCCAGCCTGGGGACATCGCTCACCGTCCAGCCGCCCCCGTCGGTCGTCATGTCGCAGTAGACCTGGAAGCCCGAGGGGTAATGTGTGGGGAAGATGGAGTAAATCCCATCCTCTTGCTGTCCGCTCACATAGATGTCAAAGCAGTCCCGGGGCCGGGAGCCTGCAGCATGACACAGGGATGGGGTGGGATGAGAGGAAGGCTGGTTAATTAATGATCTAATTTCAAGGCTTGCCATTTCTTCAGGCTCCCAACCTCGCTGCTTTGCTCTTTCCCTTCCTTTCCCTCCAGGGATTGGGTTGAGTGGTGCTGGGAGGGACGCAGGGACCGTCCCCGTGTCCCTGTGGGGTGGTTGGGGCAGGATGGACCCCAGCAGAGCAGGGGGCTGATGGCTGGAGGTGGCCATGGGCACAGTGCTGGTGGCTCCAGGGCAGCTTACTCAGCCCCATCTCAGCACAGCAATGATGAATGTGACTGCTCCCGGTGCTGCACAGTGTGCCCGCAGTGCTTGCATCCAAATAGAGGAGAAGGGTCACTTCTGGCTTTGCTTCTCCTTCATGGATGCTAGGAGCAAGCAGAAGTAATGTGGATTTTGTGGTGGCTGCATGGGCCGTTTGATGGGGGGCTGGGGGCTGCATGGCGAGAGACCCATTTTGTGGGCACGTCTCCCTCCTGCCTCTTCTCCCTCTACCATATCCATTGTCTTTGCAGGCTGCTTTCCCCATCCCAACTGCCTTCTCCCTCCCCTTTTGGCCGGTAGAGAGCTGGGAGATGCCCTATGGCTCATCCCTCCCCATGGCACACCCTCCCCAGGGCCGGGGTTTCATCTCTCACCATTGGAGCAGCCACGAGGCCGTGCTCCCCGTGCTGGGGCTCGCTGCAGGTCAGCCTTGAGCCGGGGCCGGACGCCGCCACGCTCCTTCTGCAGCGTGTCCAGCACATCACTGACTGAGCTCACCAGCCTGGCCATGTTGGTCTGGCTCTCTGAGAGGAGCTGCAGGAGGGGGACATGTGATGGGTTGGGGTTAAATGGAACTTCAGACCTTCTTGTCTCCAAGGAAGTGGCAAATCCATCCCCATGCATGCTCTGCCCGCTCCCAGTTTTCAAACAGCTGTAGGAGCAATTTTCCCAGCCAGGATACGAGGTGGGGACACAGAACCGTGGCAGAGCCCACACGGTATTTTGGGTGATGTTTTTCCCCTGGGTCTGCTCCCAGATGATGTCCAATGCATCACTGCATTGGAAGCTAGAGCTCCTGAGCTCAGCCTGCGGGCAGCTGGGGACAAGGAGCAGCCGGGACATGGGGACTTTGGGAGGAGCTGCGTCCTAAGGCTCTGCCTTCCCCCGAGGTGACCCGGCTGGGAGAGCTCTGTGAGGTGAGGGCAGGCGGGAGCAGAGCAGTGGTGCTGGGAGTGGAGTGGAGAAGGGACGTCGCGGAGCTCAGCATCCAGCCATGCTCTGGATCTCACTGTGATGCCCAACAGAACCTCCCCGGCTTACCCTGGTAAGGTTTTGCTGGGTTTGGGGTGGTGAACGAGGCAGAGGAGTTATTTGTGAGCAGGGTTCCAGGTTGAGCAGGGAAGGGACATCCCCCACCGTGTGGTCTAGGGCACAGACACCCCAAACAGCTACCCCCCAGCCCTTGGGCATGGAGCTGAACTTGTTCTAGCTCCAAACCCCACCAACCCCCAACCACAGCTTTTCCCTGCATAAAGAACAGGATCCATGCCTTGGGGACATGAGGACACCCACCTGGATGAGCCTGCCCTGCTCGCTCTGCAGGGCGCTGAGCTCCTGCCCCATAGCACTGTGCCCCTTCTTGAGGCCATCGCAGTCAGCTCGCAGTTGCGCTGCGTGCGTCACCAGCTTGGCCACCTCGTCGGCCACACCAAGCAGCAGGGCCTTCTGCTGGCCCTTGGTGGCCTTGGCCTCAGCATCGTGCTCGGCGAGGGCGCGCAGCAGGGAGCCCTGCAGCCCCTCCAGGCGCCCGACGCTGCCCGCCGGGTCGGGGCAGTTGGGATCTATGAAGATGTTGATGCGGGAGCTGTCGGCTTTCTCGATGGTCACCAACGCTTTGGCCTCCTCGGGGTTGGTGCTGATGACTGGCGGAGGCTCGGTGACGGGTGTGTGGTAGTGGTTCATGAAGAGGATGGCCCCTGTCACTGTCACTGCCAAGAGGACGGCCACCGAGAGCAGGACGGTGCACAGCACGTAGCCACAGCTCATCCTCTGGGGACACAGAGAGAGGGGATGTCGGGACCCATCACCATGAGGGGCCATCAGAACCCATTCAAGGTGCCACTGGGACCCGTCTACATGGACTCATCACCACGAGGTGCCACCGGGACCCATCCAGATGGACCCATCACCATGAGGGGCCATTAGGACCCATCCAGACAGACCCACCCCAGAGCCCTTCCACCAAGAGGTGGGTTCAGATCCTCACAGGGACTGGGATCAGCTGTGGCAATGGGATGGAGAAGTGAAGCCCACCCCCCAAGGACTTCTGCCCACAGGATGGAGCAAAGAGAAGTGGAAGCAGAGATGCCCATCGCAAAAGCAAAGTGCTGTAGTCCCTGTGTGGAGCCTGGAGGGTGGCTTTGTCTTCATGCCCTCATGTAGGGCAGACCCCAAAACTATGCCAGAACATAAACCTTGTGCCCAGGGGGCTCTGGAGAGGTCAGGATGTGGGGTTTTGGGGGTAACATTCTGCATGGGCTAGGTTTGCTCCTCTGCTCTAGCTCTGGCAATGAGGGAGGTCACACTGCACCCTGGCTTAGTGCTGCAGGACGGAGCGTGGGGACAGCAGGGAAACCTGTGGTTCCAACAGGGCATGGGTGAGCTCAGCCAGCAAAGCTGCTGAAGCCGCCTGGGAGCCACGGGTGTGAAATAATAATAAGAGGGTGAGCAGAGCAGCATGTGACCATCTGTATGTTTTATTGAAGGCATAATGCTCAGGGAGAGCAGCACCAGCCCCAGGAGATGTAGGTGGGCTCCCCACTGCCCTGGGAATGTGAGAATGCAGGGAGGGAAAGGGAGAATCCCCGTGCTGTGCCCCGCAGTGTGGACAGCAGGGAAAGCAAAGGGAGAGAGAGGGATGTTCCCAGAGGTGTGGGGAAGCTGGAGCCACGCTGAGCAGCAATGGGGATTGCTCCCAGCGGGGCTTTTCCCTGCTCTACGATCCTATCCCAATGTGACCCAATGGAGGAGCGACTGCTCCCAGGCTCAGCTTGCAGGAGCTGCTCAGGGTGCAGTGAGTGCCATTCTTGCAAAGCCATCAGCACGGAGGGTGTGAGCTGCCACCCGCCCATCAGCTCCGGCCCCCTCTCATCACACCTGCGGGACACGGGCGGTGATTTTCCCCTGACCCCGGTGCAGCTGTCACAGGGAATCGCAGCGCTGCCAGAAAGCCGCCTATTTGGAGAGACAAAGACTACTTTCTTCGGGAATGAGGAGAAAATTGCTGCATCTGCAAAGATTTCCCAAGCCCTGTCCCCTCCCGTGCACATCTATCTGGAGTGACACCTTCCTTCAAGCACCCTTCATTCACGCTCCCGCAACCATTTGCATTAAGGTGACCACGGCTGCGGCAGCGGGGGATGTGGGGATGGAACGGCTGCCCCGCACAGCCCGAGGGCTGCTCTGCCTTTTTTCACGTGGTGCTCAGCCCCAGGGCAGCCCTCCCCACAGGATGGAGCAGTGGCAGAAGGAAGCAGAGACGCATATCACTGGCAGCCCTATGGGGACAGCTGGGACCCCGCGAGCACAGATGCAGAAGGACAGGACGGCTGCTGGGAAGGGGGAAACGTCGAGTTATTTGAGATCTAAGCAGGGAACGCTGCTGGTTTCCAGCCTTCCAGCCCCGACATTGTTATCTTCCTGCCATTGCTGGGTGCAGGAGTGAGGGGACGACCCCTCTGCCAACACGCACCCCTGTCTGCAGCTGTGAGATGCTGAGTGGTGACAGCCTTCCCCGTCCCCCAGCGCTGTGCTGGCGGGTTGTGTTACCTGGCAACCTGCGGTGGGAGAGGAGGGAAACTCCTCCGGCAGCACCTGGAGCATTCTGAGCTGGGGCTGGGGTCTCTCATTGCCCCCTGCTCAGCAAAACTGTGCCCAGCATCCAGCATGGAGCCCTGCCAGCACCGCGTTCCTTGGAGCTCTGGGGCTTTCTTCTGCCCATTGCACGGCCTTGAGCTCACAGATTTTCTTGCTTTTGAGCAGCCATAGGTCATCCCTCTGCTGACAAACCCTGCTGTTCTCTTTGCCAGCAGGCCAATGTCCCCACATTGCTTCTTCCCAAGAAGTGAGCAGAGCTTTTCCTGCAAACTTGCTCATGGTGCTGGGGCCGAGAGGGATGCAGCAATGCAAAACCCAGCACAAGTCCTGACTGGGTGCAGGATGCCAGGAATTCTAGTGGCCTCTGATCTGACATCTGCTGGCAGCAGTGCCAGGCTGAACTGCTGCCTATTGCCGAGGCCAAGCCCAGATCTCTGTTTGCACAGAGAGCACAGAGACAGAGCAGGAACCAAGGATGCTGCTCCTACTCACTGTTCCTACACTCAGGGGACCTGAGCTGTGTGGTGTGAGCTGCCCACGGGCTCTGTGCATCCTGGGACTGGGGGTGCCATCATCACCCCACCATGCATCCCATCCTCTTTGGCCCCCAGGAACACGAGCAGCCATGTGGGTGCAGAAGCAGCAACTCCAGTATGGAGAGCCAGAGCAGAGCCAGAGAGAGGAAGGCTGCTTGTCCCCAGGCAGGTGGAGCAGAGTTGGAACCAAGAACAGAGAATGGTGGTGGGAGAGGCTGCGCCGAGCCGTGGGGATGCTCTGCAAGGAGGAGGTGTCCTTTATTCCAGCCAAAGGCACGGCTCTTTGTAACTCGGCAGGGCCGCTGGGATAGCTCCATGCCACGGGATGGGGCAGCCCCAGGGCTCTCCCCACGAGCTGCGTGCCAGCCAGGGATGAAGCAGGACCCCGGTTGCGCTCCTTGCAGCCCATCCATCCCTCTTCCTACCGGGTTCATCTGGCTCCAGAGGAGCCCAGCCAGAGGACAGCAAGGGCCAGTCCATCCCACGGCTTGCTCACTGTGCATCCCAGCTGCTCTGCCCCTTCTCCGCTGGGCTGATGCAGCTCTGTTCCAGTTCCTCTCCACCTGCTCTCCTGCCCAGCTCTGCACCCTACCCGTCCCAGCTCCTCTTCTCGTTCCCAGGCACGGACGCGGCACAGCCGAGCTGCATCCCTCCGCCTGCTCTCCCCAGAGCTCCTACAGCACAGCACAGCGCGGTGCAGCGCGGCGCAGAGCGCACACGGGGACAGGCTTCCATTGGAGCCTCCGGGAGCTGGAAGCAAACTCTGTTCCCTCTGCAAAGACGTGCAGGAACAAGCAGCTCCGTGCTGCGACGCCCAGCCCCGAATGCACTTCCCTCACCAAAGAGAAGAGGGAAAACGAAACGATGGACACGGGGATGAGCGCGTTCCTGCTGGGGATCCCCTGTCCTCAGCAGCGGGTGCAGATGGTAGCCGGGAGACGGAGCTGAAAACAGGGAGATTCTATCCCTCAGCTCGCAGGCTCGGTCGGGAGCAGCTCCTTCGCCTTCTCCCACGTTCCCACGTCTCTCACCCGCGCTCCGTGCCTGTCCTCCTCCCCCCAGCAGGTGCGAGGCAGCCCCACGTCCCAGCCACGCTCCCCTACCTGCCGCCTGCGCGCCGCGGATCCACGTTCGGATGCCGCCCGCACCCCAATGGCTCCGGCTGGAGGAGATGGCACACGTGCAGCCGCCCTGCTAAAGCCTCCGACACACGCACCGCTGCCCCAGCGCGACGCCGGCCTCTGCCCAAAACCCAGCCGGCGTTTGGCTGTGGCAGGTTGGGAAGCGGAGGAGATAAGGAAGGCAGCTGGCTGAGGCTGCAGCGCGCGGCCAGGACTCGCAATCCCCTCTAAGAGGTGATTTAAGCAGTTAAAATGTGCGGCAGTCCATTCGAGCCGGGTGTGAGCGTTCACCCGCTGCCAGCCCAACGCTCAGCCCTTGCGCCGGAGGGGGGTGCGGGAATCAACACGGAGCCGGGGGATGCGGGATGCAGCGGGCGGGGACTCGGAGCGGTGCCCGAGGGATGCTGCCGGTGCCGGGGGGGCCGCTCACCCCCGGGTGGAAGTTACCGTGGGGTGGGGGAGGGACAAGCGTGGGACCCCCGGCCCGTACCTGCGGTTTCTCCTGCTGCCCGTCCTCAAGTTGCGAGGCTCCTCCCATGGTTTTCCAGCGTTCGTTCCCCATCGCGCCGCCAACTTCGGCCCGAAGTCCCCGAGCCCCCGCCCCAGCGCGCCCCGCGCCCCGCACTCCTCGCCGGGAGGGAGGAACGGGCGGCGGCGGCGGCGGAGGGAAAGGAGGGAGAGGAGGAGGAGGAGGAGGACACGGGCACGGACGTGGGGCTGGGCCCTCCCTCCCTCCCCGCCAGCCCCGCCCGCCCCGCCCGCCCCGCCCCCCCCCCCTCCGACCGCGGGTAGGGGCAGAGGGTGAGGTGAGCGTCGCCCCCAAACTCCCCCCGAAATCCTCGTCGGCTCCCCCCGTTGACATAACAACCCCCCCTCTCCATCCCATCCTCAGCAGCTCCATCCGCTCTGGATTCATTCCGGAATCACTCCGATTTTGCTCCGGTTTCACTCCGGATCCACTCCAGATCCAGATGTGCCGGCATAGCTGGAGGAGCCGCAGCAGGTAAGGCGATTTGGGGTTGTTCGTTCACCCCATCTCCACGGCCACAATCCTGGGGGCAGCACTTCTTGTTCAGGGGGCTCAGCACCACTGTGTCCCTCGGGTGGGTTTGCCCTTAGTGGCTGGAGGGATCTGGGCAGGGCAGGGGGGCTCTGGGGTCGGCCCCCCCAGCTGGAAAACATTGGAAACATTGGCCCAGGCCTTAATGCTAAGGGTTAGCGAAAGTGATGGGTGGTAAAACCCACAGTGCTGTCCTGGAGGGGCACCAGCAGGACCCCCCCCATGTGGATGTGCCCACCATTGCCACCGAGTGAGGCGTTTTGCCCAAATCCCACCGTTTCCAGCCCAAAGGAGCAGTGCCCGCCTGATTTACCGCCACCGCTCCGAGCTGGGATGTGGTTTTTCTTTCCCATCCCTTTGCGGCACCTCCCTTAAATCTTTCATCCGCCGCATGTCTGACCTGCAGGCAGGAGCTGCTGAGAGGTTCAGAGAGCATCCTGAGCACAGCAGCGGGGGGAGGATGGAGCCTCATCTGCCAAGAAACCACTGGAGAACCCTCCAGGAGGGGTACAGGGGAACGGAGCTCTGCGGTGTGCGCATGGTACCAAACGTTGGCTGTCTGCTGGCCAGGTGCACCTCCCAGCTTTGGCTCTGGTGATGCCGTGTGGACATACAGGGTGATGCTGATGGCCAGCAGCCCAGCTCCTTCCAGTGGATGAGACCGTCCAACTCATTCCACCCGTGGCAGTCTGTGCCGTTCTGGCAGCGTGAGGCCCCAGGCATCAGGGGGCTGCTTGAGCTGAACTCCAAACAATAAAAACTTATCATTAAAAAGAAATGTATCTTGGCTTCACGCGGCCTGGCAGCGCGGGGAGGAGTGATTCAGTGGCTTGTCAGCCCTCGGTGTTAGGCACGCTGTGCTGAGCAACTGGACACTCTCCAAGTCCAGCAACTCATTTTCCGCAGATGGAGCCAGGACCGCGCAGTTTAATTTGCAATCCAACATACCTTGACATAACCCTCAGCATCATCATGGGTGCTGCCATGAGATGGGAGGAGACACTCGGGGAGCAATGCCATGCAGCCCTGCTGTGCCCGGGGTGCATCCCCATAGGGTGCCCACTGGGGATGTGGGTGCAGGATTGGTGGCTCTGCATGCTTTGGGGGCTTCGAGTGATGCTCAAGGTGAGCCCTCCCCGTACACATGGCTTGGGCTCATTGCTGACTCACAACATGCTGTGTTGCCTCATGTCACCCACCATGAAGACACAGGAGGGGGTACCCCCAGATGACTGAGCCCTGCTGGCAGCATTGCTCCCATGCGTGGCTTTTGCAGGGCATGGTGACATCGGCCCCAGAGCCCAGGGCTGTGCCACATGGGATCAGGTGCCCGGGGAGCACCCCAGGGCTGGGAGCGTGGTGGGATGGGGAAGGGCTCCTCCTGGCAGCCCAACGCAAATCGATCCTGCAAGCGTGGCATGATTCATGTTTCAGGCTATGGCCTGAGGGCAAAAACTGGAGAAATGTTTGATGTGAGGCTGTGGGTCCTGTTGGGAGCTGCGGCTCTGCCCGCCCTGAACAGGCTCTGCCCTCATTGCTTGAGGGTGCCGGGCTGGGCCTGGGGCAAAAAATGACTAAAGCAACTTGGGATTAGAGCTGTGTGCTGAAATACGGCATTTCGATATCGTGTTTGGATGCTGTCTTCTGTGTTGCGATTGGAGGCAGCGAGAAGAGCTACATGCATCACAGCTGGCTCCTGTCGGCCCCATGCTTTGGAGATGGGGACAGACCTGAGGGCAGCAAGACACCCTGAGATGGGACTGGGGCAGGGGTCTGCACCCGCAGAACAGTGGAACAGGGGATGGGTGTCTGCAGGCACAAAGCCCACGGGTTTCCAGCCATTGGATCAAGGCTGGAGGGGCAGAAATCCCCATCTCACAGCGATTCCCCCATTGCTGAGCAGGGCTGGGGGCCGGGGTTGGCTGCCAGGAGCCAAGTGCTGTGCTTGGATGTGTGCCATCGGGAGCCGTCGCTGCACACAGGCGGCGTCAGGCATCATCATAATATTAATAATGAAAGGGCAGAGCCTTCAAAGATCTTCGCCCCTGCGCTGCATGGCTGCTGAGCGCGGAATGCAAAGGAGCTGCGTGAGCCTCATCCCAAGCAGCCATGGGGCGACGCCAATCTGGGTCACAAAAATGCCCAGGGAGCCCCTGGGGGCTCCTCATGTTTGGCTGCAGGGTTCCTGTCTCACATCCCCTGTCTGGTGGCCGTGAGTCTGTGATTCTCCTCTTTGGCAGGGCGCAGGGCACTCTCTGAACACCCCAAATATGGGAATGTTAAGGAATGGGCAAACTGAGCATCTCTAACAGGGCAGAGAGGTGAGCTGTGCTGCAAATGGGGACTGAGACAGCCTACAGGGCCATGGGTTGACCCTACAGCATCCCAGTGCGTCCCCATAGCTCATCACCCTGTGAGACATTTGGGCTTCAGACATCCTTTTTTAATGTCCCATGTGTTCCCCCAAGGCTGGGAACTTTGTGTGGGTCTTGGCAGCGTTGGGCCACGGGATGTGCAGCTCTGCTCCTTTGCTCTGTGCCAGGAGCCCTGACCTGAGAAGGAAGAAGCCAAAAGCCCCTGTGCTGGGTGCAGAGCATGCCTACCCCATGCCCACCCCATGTTCACACCATATCCTCCCATATCACTCCATACTCACTCCACGCCTATCTCATACCCACTCCATAGCCACCCATACCCACTCCATACTCACCCCATGCCCAACCTGTGCTCACCCCATACCCATCCCACACCCTCTCCATGCCCACCCCACAGCTACCTATACCCATATCATACCCACTCCATACCCACTCCATAATCACCCCATAGCCACTCATTCCCACTCCATACCCATCCCATGCCCACCCCTATCCATATCATATCCACTCTATACCCACCCCATATCCCATTCCCACCCCATTCCCGTGCCCTGCTCGCACTTTGGATCCAGTGGGCTGTGCTCATTCACCCCATGGAGCGCAGCATCACGGGGTCCCGCTGTGCTCCTGGTGCCATCCCATTGTGCACAGCCCTCCCTCAGCCTTTATTTCCCCTTCCAAACACAACAAACCCCCTTCAAATCCTCCACGAGTGAGAAATCTCTTTTTGTTCCTTTATTTTTTTCTCCACCGCTGCAGAGATCGATCGGAGCTGATTCTCCATAATCCTCCCTTTCTGTGGGAAGCTGGAGCCTCTGGGGGGGGGTGGTGGAACTGATGTGGGTCCCACTCAAGGTGCTCAGGGCTCCGTGCTCATGGCATCCAGCATCCCAAACCCCCATCTCCTAGCAACTTCCCTGTGCTGCCTCTCTGTGATCCCCTGCGTTCAGGCTTTGAAGGGCAGAGCTTTGGTTCCTGGATGGGTTTGTGAGTGTTTTGTCCTCCTGGCAGCAGGGCGCTTGAGGGATGCAGGAAAACCTGAGGGCAAACCCCAGCTGTTAGCAATGGGACTTGCAGATGGGGATGGGATCCCACCTCCTGGGAGCTCAGCCTGGAAACAACATTCTGTTGGTTGAAAAAATAACATTTGATGTGGGGAAAATAATACAACAGGGTTTTGTTTTGCTTTGTTTTGTTGGTTAAGGAATGCCTCCTGACTATTTGCAGGCTGGGAAATATGTCCACAGGTCATGGAGTGCTGAAAGGGATAAATCACTCCTGGCACCAGAATGGGCTTTGTTGTGCTTGATCTAAAATACGGTGGTAAAAATGACCAAACGGCAATTATAAAGGGGGAGAACGAGTGTGTGTGTGTGTGTGTGGAGGGTTTGTGCTGCTCCTGCTTGCTCAGTGCACAGCGACGGGCAATGAAAGCAGCGTCTCACCCTCCAGCCACGCTGATGCTGCCATCTGAGGGCGCTTTCTCGTGGCTGCCAGTGGGAATTGGTGATGTGGGATTACAGCAGGGCTGTGTGAGGGATCCCTGCCCTCGGGGGAAGTTGCAGGGATGTTGGCATAGAGCTCAGCTCGGTGCGATGCTCTGCCTGCCCGAAGCTCCCAGTTCCCTCCAGTCCCTCCCAATACAGCCCAGCTGCTATTGGGGTGAATCGCCATCAGAACAGCCCCAGTCTGAGCCGTGAGCTGCTGAGTGCTCCCAAATCCCTGTGGTAATTGGATCAGGGCGCTGTTTTCCATCAGAATATTAAACGGGAGCCCCCGCCCCAGCCCAGGCAGCACGCTTTGGGATATAAAGACACGGTGAATCGCGTTATGGGGGTTATTTCTCCTGCTTTAAAGTCAGAGGTATCACAGCAGCTCCTGATTTGTCACAGAGCACCGTGGTCCAGCTCCTGTTGATGGCAGGATTGGGAGGGCCATCACCAGCCGAGCGCTGAGATCATGCAGCTCATCACAGCAATGGCACACAAGGAGCTTTGCTGTCCCCAGCTCACTCCTGTCCCCACATGGGACCAGCACGGAGGCCGGGGGGTTCAATTAGCAAATGAAGGGGCTTCTGTGCCTTGCCCCGGTCATCTGCATAGCAGGGTCTCTGGGTGGGGTGACCATCTGGTGGCATCTGCTGCTGCTCAGCTGCCACTGGTCTCCTAGAGAAGGGACACACAGGGCACAGCACCAAGATACAGGGATAGGGGCTGCTGTGCTGGGCACATCCACCACTCCTGCCACAGCGGGATGGGTGGATGGGCAGATGGATGGATCATGGAATCATAGAGTCATTAAGGCTGGAAAAGCCTTCTCAGATCCCCAGGCCCAACCTCCACCCGTCCCACCATGCCCATGGACACGTCCCTCCATGCCACATTTCCATGGGCTCTGGAACAACTCCAGGGATGGGGACTCCGCCAC